GTTCCTACCACCTTGTTTAGAAGGTCATTGTTTTGGGCTCTTTGCTATTGTTGTCCTTTTTGTTTCCTGTTTCCTTAGTAATTTGTTTTTGTTTTTCCCTCTAATGCAGAAAGGACAGATGTACATGTAGAGGCTTATACATTCCTAGAACTTTTACTAAGCAGTTTACCAGCACTGATTGTATTATACGTGAAGGTCTAAACAGCTACTTTGAAGAAAAAGAGACATTATGGTAACAATGGCTGATTTCCTATTGTCATGCTGTGAAATCCAGTAATGTTTCTATTCTTTGTTTAGAGTGGTTTTAGTCTGTTTTGTATTATTTAATTTGAACATATATGAAGGTAGCGACAGTTATTTTGAAGAGAACAAGACACATTATGGAAGCCATTGCTGATTTTCCTATTGTCTGGTTTTGAAGGCCTGTAATGCTTTCATTATCCTGTTTTGATCACTTTTCTACTATTTTGTTTTGTATGAATTCACTGTGTATCAAGATAGACAACTAGCTAAATGCCAAGACTTTATGGTGGCCACTATTGTCTCCTGTTTTCTTTTTTGAAATCCTGTGTCACTTACATTGCTTTCTTCTGATCTGCTTTATTCTGTTTTGTTTTACCCTCTTAAAAAAAAAAGTTAAAAATATGCTAAATAGTAAAACTGTATTTTGAGCTGGAGGTATAGCACTGTGGTGGGGCACTTGCCTAGCACACTCCAGGCCCTGTGTTTGATCCCAGTACTATTCCTCCACAAGCATACAGGTTACATGTTAAAAACAACAAGCACTCATTTACTACTTTCAGGTTTATTAACTTTGATCTATGAATCAAAAGTATTATCATAAACATGTAGTCCTTGAACTCATTATGTAGCCCAAACTGGCCTCTAACTCAAGATCCTCCTGGCCTCTACCTCCCAGGTGCTGGAATTACAGGAGTAATTCTAGCCACATCTGGCCCCTAGAAGTAATTTTTATTAATACTTTTTTTTGAGGAGGTGGTTTTGGGGACAGGGTCTCACTGTGTAGTGCAGACTGGCCTACAGTTCAGGCAGGCCTTGAACTCATAGAGATCCTCCTGCCTCACCCTCCCAAGTGCTGGGATTACAGACATGCACCACCATGCCCAACCAATATTATTCTTCAATAGCTGGGGAAATATACCATTAGAAGAATTGTAAAATATATGACACTGTCACAGAGTGAAATACTTCCCTAATATTAAAAAAAAAGTTAACCATAAACACTTTCTGAATTCTATGCTTTTCCTTCCCTATCACCACCTTGTTCTAAATCCCCACCATCTACATGTGAATTTCTGCAACTCTTCCAAAGTCGCTGCTTCTGCCCTTATGTGGCTGCGTATATTCCTAGTGCAAGATTAAAGAGACCATATTTAAACCAATCTGTTTGTATCACTCCTCTGCTCGAAACCCCACAACAGCTTCTCTTCTACTTCCAGAAAAAGCCAGTTCTAACAAATGTGACCCATCAAATCCTCTCTCTTCTTTGCTTCTTGCTCTTCCTGCAACACCAACAGGCTCCCCCAGGCCTCTGCACTGCCATTCAGAACACAACTTGCTCTCATTTTCCCTTCAGCTCATGTTCTAAAGTCCCCTACCCACCCTAGTATTTCAACAATCTTCTCCTAAAAGGTTATTTCCTACCTAGTTTCTCGGCTCTATTTATCTTCTTGACACTTTTCAGTAATATTTCACATATATTTACTTAATTATCTGTACACTATTATTAGCTGTCTGTCTGACATCATTAGTTATCTGACATTAACCACTGGGAGATGGCACCCAAACCACCCACAGGTTAGAGCTTAGTTCCACAACACTGCCCCGGGTTCAAATGTCTGCAATGATTCCCAGGCCAACCATGTCTGACCAACCAGTTATAAACAATCCTTTCCAGTTTGATTACTTGGCTCAAAGAACTCAGAAAAATACTACATTTACCAGTCTACACTACAAAACAGAAATGAACAGCCAAATGAAAAGGTACATCAGGCAAACTATAAAACAATCTCTTGTACAAGGTTCCTGCTTCCAGCAACTCGCCATACCAGCTCCATCTCCTGGTGTAGGAGTTTCTAATGGAAGCTGGGCATGATGGTGCACACACCTGTAGTTGCATCACTAGGAGGCTAAGGATGGAGCATCATGCTAACTTCAAGATCAGCCTGGACTACATAGTGAGTTCAAGATTAGCCTGAACTACACAGAGAGACTCTGTCTCAAAACAAAAATAGAAAAATAGTTTCTAATACAGCTGAAACTCCAGCCTTGCCCTTCTTCCTCTCCAGGTATGAGAATGGAAGAACATTCCCTAGTTACTTAGTCTTTTTGGTTCCTAGTCCCATTCTGAGGCTATTTAAAGTTCAAGTCATCTCAATTTGCTTCAACACTCATGTGATCAACAAAAGATCATGAATTAGGAGTAATTCAAGTAACTGTAACAATTTTAGAAACTCTGTGCCAGGAAGACCACAGAGATTATGGAGAAACATTTTATTTTTATTTTACCAGTCTCCAACTAGAAAGTAAATTCCATGCAGAATAAGAATTTTTCTATATTGTAACATTTTTTCAATTTTATTCAATATTGTATCCCAGCAAAACAGAGCAATGTTTAAGAAACAATATTTGCATAACCGAGTAAGCTAAATGGGATCTAAAAACCATGTCTTGTAATGTTTTACTCATCTCATTTAATCGTCATAATAATCATAAAAATTAGTCACCATTATAATTTTCCTGTGATTTAAATATATTAAGAAGACTTTAAGACTTTTTTTTTTTGGTCTTTTTGAGACAAGGTTTTACTATGCAGTCCAGGCTGTCCTTGAACTCACTTTGCAGCCCAGGCTGGCCAAGACCAGCATGAACTGCACAGCAAGACCAGTTCTCCTAGCCTCTTGAGTGCTAGGACTACAAGCATGTGCCATCACATCCTGCTTTTAAAATCTTTAAGAAGAGTTATCACCGAAAGATTCTCCCTTCTTGCTCTGGTACTCTTCTACCATGTTGTCAGACGTTGGCACCTTGGTAACAGACTTCCTAGCTTCCAAAACTGGGAAGCAATAAATTTCTGCACATTACCTAAATTGCTTAGGCTAAGGTATTCTGCTGCTGATACAGACTAAGATACTTCTCATTTAACAGAGGAAGACTGTAGGAATGCAGGTAAAATTAGTGGCATATCTAGGGTCACACAGCTGGCATAAGAAAGAATTCTAACCCAGGGAATAAAACTGAAAATTCCAGTTAAAAGGCACCTCATCACACAGGCCTTCTTCAACCCCTGATATACTGCTATATAAACAAAACAAACTATCAGATGATCTTTTTAAAATTATAAATACCTATGTTACTATAGAAGAGGAAAAAGTATAAAATTTATGGTAAAATATGTGTCTTTGGGTAATGAAAGCCTAGTTAAGATTGCCAAGAGGACACAAACTCACTTTGCCATCGCTATCAATACCACAAAGCACTAACTCTCCACGCAGCTGAGAGAGAAAATTGGGCACTCTTGATGTGAACAGGCCATGTCACACTTTTTCTCAAATGCCAAGACTCCTCAAGACACTATCATCTCAGTACACAGCACCTTCTCCTCTGTATGCCAGATGATCAAACCAGAAACATCTGTCTCTCATGAAACTGTCTCTTTTCATAATCATTGCCACGAAGAGTAGGGCAAGATTCCTTTCTTGGATTCTTGCAATACCATCCTTAATTAACAGTTCCACTCTTGCCCTCTCATATTCCACATGGGAAGAAGTCGGAGTGATCTAGTAAAAATTGAAAATCTTGCCTGTGATCCTAACTACTAGGGAGGCTGAGGCAGGAGGATCATTCAAGTCTGAAACTATTTGGGCTACATTGTAAGCTCAAGGCCAGCATGAACTGCACAGCAAGACCAGTTCTCCGTAACTAATGGGCTTAAAATGAAGCAGAAACGCAAACTCTCTTAAGGCTTTTTGCAAATCTAATGCCTGACACTGCTACCTTTAATCACTAACGTTCCAGCGAAATTAGTCTTTTTTGTTCCTCCAATCTATAAAACTCTTTGCTCCCGGAGGATTTTCTGACACCCTGCTCTAAGTCTAAGATAACTGCTCATTGTCACTTAGTTCTTACTCCTCTTTACTTCATTGAACTAACTAATAAAAGATTCTACATTTGCTTTGTTCACCCACTACCCAACAAACACAACGTTTTCTATTATCCAGTCATTACTCTACTAGCATCACAGAGTTCTAAACAAAGAAACACAACCATACTCTTAAAGTTAATGGTGTCAATTTAAACAACAAAATTTAAAGGGTTTCAAAAAATACCTGTCTGCTAATTGTGAGCACTTTCAAGAAAAAATGAAATCTATCAAAATGGTACCACCCAAAAAGACTTTTGAAGTGAATTAAGAACAAAGCATTGTCACAAGTGATTATTCTTGGAAAAGGGTAATAGAGCGCTCCCAAAAATCATTTTTCCCTGCTTTTTTTTTTTTTGCTTTACAAAAAGATGGAGATGAAGCTGAATCCAAATTCAAAATGCGGGAAGTTTACTAATCTTCATATTATTTCAAACCAAAAAGAGAAAAACTTTTGGTAGTTATTCAAATTACAGAATATTCGGTTTAAAATTCTACTGAAAAGGAAAAGAGTCGGAAACAAAGAACATTACATGCTCCCTCTGTAAACAAGGCACAGCCATAGCCCCAACCCCCACTCCGGAAATCGTGATTGGGACAATGCTCGACGGATTCTCGGGCAGAAATCTCACGCGATCAACCTGGTAGGCCACGGTCCCCATCACGCTTATATCACGCCTCCGCCCCCAAATGCTTCGTTGGCAGCTTTCAGGCCCCACTCTCAGCTCTATCCAATTTCACCCGCAGAACTCGCGTGGGATTATCACTTCCCTCTTCGGTTCGCTTCCGAAACACATTCTACGAAAGCAACTGGAAACCGGCCACGGGCCGGGCTCACCTGAGGCTGCACCGTACTCGACAGGGAAAACATGTCCTCCGGGCTTCAGCAACCCCTCTCGCCAGCCGAAACTGTCCTTCCGTCCTCGGCCCGGCAGGGAGGCGCTGCGCCCGTCCCTACATCCTTTTTCTTCTTACCCAGCCCCTCTCCCTACCCAGCAACAAAAATGGCCGCCTCCCGCTACGGCTGCTACCACTGCAGGCTGCCCCGGAAGCCAACGCGCGGAGGCAACATCACTTCCGGGGCACGGGCCAGCCGTACGTCTGCAGGCGGCCCCGAGCTTTTGTGTTGGCAAGCAATGGGATCCCCAAGCCCCTCGGCTGTGTGTTTTCACTTTAAGGAAAGGGCTTCACCCTACTTCTCCTTTCTCAGACGTCCTCCAGCTTCCTTATCACATTCTCACCGTATTTCCTCGTCACAGCTGAGCCGCGAGCTAACAGCGTTTGGTTGCTACAATGTAGTGTACTCTTTTCCTCACGATAAATCGGAGGTTTCCCTGTAGGCCTTTGTCCGTTCACGTCAGGCGAATTCTATCCTGGAATATCACACTAGACTGGGTCAACGCATCCTGCACGTCTAGCGTCTCCCTCTCCCGAGACTCGCACAGCAGCGGCCAAGCTTTGGGGGACAGCCCAGCTGACGCGGGCGTCTCGCGGGGCGGGGCTGGCAGCCGCCGGGGAGGGGGAACTTCCGGCCCGGACGGATCCCGCAGTCGCGCAGCAATCGCATCATACAACCCGTGATTCGGGTCTCGGGGGTCCCAGCTGCCCCACTCTTCTCCAACAACTGTCTGTGCCTCGTCCCTCATGACAAATGATGTCAGTGGGCCGTGGCGACCGCCCTCGAGAGGTCAGCGGCTTAGCCCGCACCTCGGCGCTCGCGGAATCGGCTCGCGCGGCTCTGGGGCGGCATGGACGGGGCTGCCTTGGGTCGCGCGCGGCACCGCGGTGACGTCACTCTTGCGCGCGCTGTAGGCGTGGCCTAAATTTGAACGCAGTTGGCGGGAGCCGAGGCTGAGGGCGAGTCCAGGGCGCTGTCCTGCGATGGAGCCCTCCTCCGGGAGCAAGGAGTATACAGAAGGCACGGCGACCGGGGAGTGGATGAATACAATCCCGGTTCCAAGACCACCCTCCATTGAAGAATTCACCATAGTGAAGCCCATTAGTCGTGGTGCCTTCGGGAAAGTGTATCTGGGGCAGAAAGGCGACAAGTTGTACGCAGTCAAGGTAGGAAGTGTGGGAAGAGGTGAGAAAGGGAGTTAGGTCCTTCCGTCTTCTTTTCTGCCCCCTGATTGGGGGCCGCAGGGCTTGCTGAAGCCTGCAGAGCCGACTGTTTGTTTTGGGCTGGCCGCAGCAGTCGGTGAGGTGTCTGGCCTCTGCCCTGCCTTTCTCTCCGTATCTTAGGAATCATCCACTGCCCAGGGAAAATAGCAACACCTGACCATATTCGCCCGGTCCAGTGTTAACGAAGGAGCAAACTGCGTGCAAAGGAACTTTTGAATCCGCTGCTCTGATTCATGTCTAACCCACAGCAGAGTGATATTTCTAAATCCAAAAAGTTTTAAGTAGTTGGTGGTTGTCGCTTGCTTCGAAATACAGATTGCTGAAATTTTTCTATCACAGCAAAATGATTAGTTTGTCAGCACTGATTTCAAGTTTGACCTAACCAGGCGGGAACTTCATTATTTTCTGATAATTTCATTCCTAAAATTTTTAAACGTTAGTATTATCTATTCATTTCATGTATCTTCTGGACCCTTTTCACTAATTTGACCTTTACCAGGCTTAAGTTTAGGGTTTTCATTTAAGTTTGCAACACACGATTGCTGGTTACATTTAATTCTATCCATTTGCAATAAATCAGTATTTAAGCTGCTGTACAACCAATGATCTCATTAAACAAGCCTCCTTTTTCTCTTCACATTTTCTATTGTGAAATCTGGAATGTGCTTTTATTTAAAGAGCAGGCTGAAATATGTCCTATGTCAATCTTTTCATCTTTGCAGCAGTGTATTTGAAGCTGTCTGTCCACTCTTTGTGTTTTATAGCCAGGAGTGATGGCACATGCCTATAATTCAAGCACTTGGGAGGCTGAGGCAGAAGGATCCTTGTGAGTTCAAGACCAGCCTCAATTACAAAAGTGATCTTAAAGCCAACCTGAACTGCACACAGCAACACTGACTCAAGAAAAGACCCCCCCAATGTGCTTTGTTACACAACTATACTATAATGCCCAAATACTCTATAAGTAAGCATATTTATTTATTTATTTATTTATTTATTTATTGGTACCAGGGATCAAATTCATGACCCTCCTTGCACTTGCCAGGCAGGCACTTGTGCTGCTGAGCTAAATCCCTGGCCCAGTAAGCATATTTTTATTTCATGCTATTAAATTCTTTTTAATAGGTAATGGAATATCTTTTTGGTGGAGATGTCAAGTCTCTTCTTCATATATATGCTTATTTTGATGAAGAGATGGCTGTGAAGTATATTTCTGAAGTAGGGCTGGCTCTCAACTAACTTCATAGACATGAAATCATCCAGAGGTAAATCAAATTATGTGTTAAATGTTTGGATATCAAATATTTACTGTAACCATTTGCCCATATTTCCAGATTAAGGTTTAATAGTAACTTGTGTGAGTTTAGAAATTCTCTTACCTACTGTTTTGTCTCCCTGTGTTTGAAATTATGTTACTTTGAATATGAACATAATATTTCAGTGGAAAGATTTCAGTTCTTTTCCACTCTTTTGCCCTCATACAAAAGTTCCATACTGTATAGTCCTAGCTGATTTACACTACTTTGTTCTGTGCAAAGAAAGGTTAAGTTACTCTGCTCTGTTAAAGCTTAATCTTACATTAACAGAAAAGAAGATACACAATTTTGAACTGGCTTGTGGATTATTTTATGTAATGTGATTTATTTATTTTTCATGGAAAATATAACAATGTCACAGATAATCTAAAATTAAATCATTTAACATTTTGTGGATTCAGATGTACCAAAGAGCTTCTTTTGAAAGTTCTCCCATTGTTTGCAAAGCCACTAATAAATACATTTATTTTAGAGGAAATAAATAGAATTTGCCTCCTCTATAACTCTTTTTTTTTTCTCAGCTATTTTAATATTAAAACTAGATTTTCAGCTGGTCGTGGTGGTGCATGCCCGAAATCCCAGCACTTGGGAGGCTGAGGCAGGAGGATTGTTGCAAGTTTGAGACCAGCCTGCGCCACAAAGTGAGTTCAAGGCCAGACTGAACTGCACTGTGAAACCCTGTCTCCAAAACAAAACACCTAGATTTTCACTAGGCGCAGTGGTGCATGCCTGTAATCTGAGCACTCAGGAGGTGCAGGCAGGAGGTTTGCTGTGAGTTCAAAACCAGCCTGAACTACATAGCAAGAACTTGTTACAAAAAAAAACAAAAAAAATTTTAAAAAATAAAACTAGTCTTTTCTTTAGTTATCTATTTGCCTTTTGTTTTATGTACAGGGATTTGACATCAGGCAATATACTGATTTTTAATGAGGGTCATATTAAATTGACAAATTTTGGTCTTTCCAAAGTGACTTTGAATAGAGGTAAGAAAAATACCAAATATGTACCTTTTTAATGGTCCTGCAACAATGAACAGCAGCAAGAAAAAAAAAATTTTAGAGAATACATTTCACTAACTTACATTGTTATTTTTTTGTTTATACTAAATGAAATTCAATATTTATTTGTAGACTATATGTAAGTGCGTCATTTTTCCACTAAAAGTGTAAAATACTGTTTTACATGCTCAGTATTACATGTTTAGCATCCATGAGGCCTTGAGCTCGATCCCTAGCACAGATACTTAGGTAGATAATCAAAAATGGGAATGGCCACTATTAAATTTTCAGACTGTTGAAAATCCTTGGCTTTCAAGCAAGCACCTCCCCTTCCTGGTAAGTGGTGGCAGTGTGGCCCACTGCAGCGCTTCCAGGGGGAGAACCAGCAGTGTCCCCTGAGATCCACGCCATGTTGGAACTTAGGACTCTGGGAAGCCAAGCCAGCACCTCCCCTCCCTGGTAAGCGGAGGCAGGGTGGCAGACTGCAGCCCTTCCAGGGGGAGAACCAGCAGTGTCTCCTGAGATCCATGCCATGTTGGAACTTAGGACTCTGGGAAGCCAAGCCAGCACCTCCCCTCCCTGGTAAGCGGAGGCAGGGTGGCAGACTGTAGCCCTTCCAGGGGGAGAACCAGCAGTGTCTCCTGAGATCCACGCCATGCTGGAACTGAGGATGCTGTGAAAACAAATGACCATCCTGCCTCCCTGCTTAGCAATAGTGACCTACTGCTACATGGCCTAGAGTCAAATATCCCACTTCCCCTATCCTCCTGCTCCCCCCCCCCCCGCCCATTAGCAAATGGGAACCAGAAATCTGAGCATCTCCTGGGAGGTTGACCATAGCAAATACTTCCGTTTACCATTTCTTTGAAGGCAAATATTTTTATTACTGTTTTGCTCTTTTCTGATTAATGGTACTGCTCTATTCAGTATTTTGTTTTGATAAGTTCTATAGTGTTCTATATTTCATCTCATTTTGATATACGTGATTGAAAGAACAACTGTTATAAAGATAACAAAATATACTATGATACGTATTACTGTTATCCCGGTAACCTGCTGTGAAGTTCTGTACCAGTTTCACTGTACAATTCTTAGTTGGCTTTATTCTGACTTGTTCTGTTGTATACTTTCAAAATAAAATAAAATAAAATAAAATAAAATCCTTGGCTTTTTAAAAAGAAACTTGTAATTTCTGTTCTTCTGAAGCAAAGCAACAGTAAAATTACTAAAATAAATATAATATGAAGATTCAATATCTAACAATTTATTCAAATATAAATGACTACCACTAAGACCTTAATAAAAGAGCAAAGATAAACAATTGATATATATGAATATATGGAAATATGGTCATTTTACTAGTAATAGTTAAAACAATGCAAATATAAAAATGAACCATTTTATAATAGTAAGCACTATCAAAAAGGAGTAATGATGATCCAATTAATGAAGCTACTTTTTAAAAAGCCAAATTGCTGTGCCCAAGTACACTGTAAATTAGTATAGTACTTTCTAAAGCAGATTTGCTAATATATTTTTAAAAAAAGTTTTAGGACCAGGGGTATAGCTCAGTGCCAAAGCATCTGCTTGGCAAGTGCAAAGTCATGAGTTCAATCCCTGGTACTATTTAAAAAAAAAAAAAAAAGGTTTGGTTAGGAAAGTGTCCCATGCATGTAGCTAGCACTTCAGAGACACTAGAACTGATTGATGAGCATCGGAGAAATGTCCAGTGACCTGAGTTGTTCCTTTCCTGTCTCCTCCCTAGATTTCACTGCCAGGTCACCGACCCCTTTCAATGAACTGCTTCCTGCTCTCAAAGCCAGTCCTCCCTCAGGGCTCTGGAGCCCAGCCTGTGCCTCCTGCTAGCCAGTGCTCAGTAGGTGCTGATGGCAGCTCCCCACAGATGCCTTGGTGTCAGGAACGCCCCTGCCACATTCATGCTGGAACAAGGCCCTCAAGGCCCATACACCTGTGCCCCAGCCACCCTCGCTGTCCCTTTGCTTTTGCAGAATGGAAGTGTTGTTTTGCTATTTAGCTAATTCTCATATGTTGGAATTTTAAGTTTGTTTTTTATAATTTCCCCTCCAGGGCTGGGTGTGGTGGCACACACTCATAACCCCAGCACTGGAGAGACTGTGTCAAGAGGATAGAAAATTGAAAACCAGGCTGAACCATAGAGCAAGACCCTGTCTCACACAACAACAGAATTTCCCTTCCAAGTCTTGCAAAGCTAGGACTGGCTGGCTCATTCCTTCATTCCTGGCTGTTTAGGATTTCTGGACACTGTCCCAATTGTGTTTTTTTTATTTTCTTAGCATTGCTATAAGTCACTCCCTCCTAAATACTTGGAGCAGCTAAAAACTCAAGTTAGAAGGAGTCTGAGGATGATGTTCATGTAGTGATCTCAGGGAAAGGACTTTCTAGTTGCTTTGGGAGTTTGGCATGTGTACATGTGTGCATGTGCATGGGTGTGTGTATGTGATGCTGGGAAGGAACCCAGGGCTTCGGGCATTCTGGGCAAGTGCTCTCCCACTGAGCTACTCTCAAACCTTGTTGTGGGTTTCCCCCTGTGAAAACTTCTCCTCATCTGGCTGTTGCTGGGAGATGTGGGAGCCAATGGATGTGACTCCCCTGGGCCTGCCTGCCTTAGCCTGAGGATTGCAGCACCTGGAACCCCTGGAGAACTCAGCCCTCCTGACCACTGTGAAAAGCTTCCTGTCCTCTGGGCCTGTGCTTCAGAACCTGTACAAACAGCTGGTAGATGTGGCTTCATGCCTACTGAGCCACCCCCAGTGGGGATCCATCTACTCTGACCTCAGCTCTTCTGCAGCAAGGGACATCCTCTGGCTGGTAGCAGGGACCTCCCACCAATTTGTTCTGTGAAGCTGCCATGTTCTGCCTCAGTACAAAGACCCAGAGTCACTCATTCCTGGATAGGTGGGACGCTGCAGTACCTTAGCAGATCTGAGCCTTTGCCGCCCAGTCTCAGAAGGAGATGTCCTCTCCTTGATCAGTCCAGGCCCCAGGCAGCTTGCCAGCAGGCCCTGGAGCAGCCTGCCCTCCAGAAAAGACACCCTGAGGAGGTGACAGTCGGGAGCCCTCCTCTGCCCAGCTCCTGTCAGCTCCGGGGAGTATAGAGCTCCTCTGAGCCAGAAAGCCATGCCACTCCCAGGGAGACCTGGAGGCTGCACAGAGCTGGCCACATGGACCACTGTGATACTGACTCCACAGGGCCCATGTGCCTCTCAGAATCAAATGTGAACCACCTCCGCCTCCAGCCAGGCCGTAAAGATGTCTGGAAGCTGGAGGGCAGATGACTTGTGCCTTGCCTACTACTTGAGCTCACACTGACAACCTGAAGGTCCATAAGATCCTTTCTCCTTGTTTTATTTATTAAGGTTCTGTATAATTTCTTAGGAGGAGTGTGATCATTGCCAGATGGACCTCTTGGGGTAGCACAGTCTTCCTTCATCTTTGGCTCCTGAGTTTCCCCTCTCACCTCCAAGAGCTCAATCCTAGGTCACAGCAGGGCCCTGCCCTAGTGCCACCTCAGTCCTCTCTCTTGGGCTCTGTCCCTTCTGCCAGCTGGTACTCGTCCCAGATCCCTTCAGCCCTCCCACACCCCAGGCTCTGAGGTCTCCCAGACCTGCCCTGGTAACCCGCCTCAGGAATCCCACTGTGCCGCCACTGGCTGGGGAGGAAGTGGCCAGCCAGACTGTCACAGATGAAGAGGAAGATGAGGGGGCCTGTCCCCAAGAGGAAGGCTCTCACCCCCAAGAGGGGGTGCAGCGAGAGCTCCACTGGGCTTCCTCCAGCCCCACAGGTCCCTGATTTTGTACTACTTCCCATCCAGTGTCACCATCCTCTAACTCCACCTCCCTCGCCGGCTGGTAAAACAGGCCTGATTGTAACTGTTCCCAGACCACCCACAACACCCTCAGCCAATGCCAGATGCTCCACACAGCCACCTGGCACACAGCACACTCCTTAGATGTCAGCATCGCCCTAGGCGAGGCCCCTCAGAAGCACAAGGAGGTGTAGAGACAAGCTCTCCTGTATCTTGCTTAGGAATAAGGACATCTCAGTCCTGTGCACCAGAAACCTTCAAGGTCCTCTGGACTCCCAGGAGCTGAGTGCCTTGGCTCCTTTTGGATGAAATAGAAATGGCTCAGCGTCCTCCCTTCCCCATCTCGGATGCTACAGCCTAGCCAGCCTGGCAGGTCATAGGCTGTGGTGCTCTCCCCAGGGGCAAGCAGCCTTTTAAAGTGGGAACAAATGCACTTGCTGGGGAAAGTGGTGGATCTTTCCAGCAAGTGCACTCACTCAGTGAGGCGCAGTGAGAATCCAGTGACACAGCAGAGCCTAGCTTCTGCTCCCTAGTGAAGCAGCTCTCCTG